GCTGCAACCACCGCATGTCCAGCAACAGATTGCTAACCAACCTCTGACCTGTCGCGTCCGCCTCGCCATACTCGCTTTGCCACAGTTTCTTCCCTGCCCTAGATACAGCCGAGTATAGAGAGTCCCGTCGGCCGTTGCCGTACTGGTACCCGTGGACGTTAACCCGAGACACGCCGGACATCGCGCTGCTCGAAATCCGATTGAAGGTGGCCACGGCCTCGTCGTAATAGCTCTCGTCCGAAGCAGAAATGAAAGATGAAAGCCCACGGCTGCCAAGTTCGGTTCGAAGGTGTCCCAGAACAGTCGCTTGGGTGCTCGCTTCGAAGTGGCAACCCTCCTGCGTTCCTGTTTTGCCGTTCCACCATTTCGCCGAGGGCTCGTTAAAAGGCGAGACAGATTGAAACCGAATGTTCCAATTATCCGCAGCGTACTTGGCGACGGTAGCGAGGTAGATGGCGTGCTGCTGATAATTCCAGGTTTGCACGTTGTCGGACGAGCCATCGTCGGATCCCGAGGGGTTATGGTTCTTGCACATCCACCACATGGGCGAGTTCGAGAATAATTCGAGGATGTCAGCACCACGATCTCGTGCTTTTGACAACATGCTCCGCTGGTTCGCGTCGACCGACCACTTCCAGCTGCTCGACGAAGGGTTGGTGCTCCCCCAGTCCTGCCAGAAGCCCTCCACCTGACGAGAAGGGATCATCTTTGGGGAAACCGCCATTTTGGAGCCATTGTAAGTGTTCCAACTGCTTGCACCAGCATTGTATCTCGCAATATTGAACCCCAGACCGGGAAGCGGCTGGCCTTGAAAGTTGACCATCTTGGTGGTGAAGAAGATATCTGCCAGATCATCCCGGTTACCGAACGCAACAGCCCACCATGCCAGAGACGTGCCCCATCCCTCCCAAGTGCCACGATTGGATTTTGCATCGATGACTGTGGTGAGGTCTGCGTTTGTGAGCGGGAAGTTGGCTGCTGTTAAAGCTAACCCGACGGCGAGTTTCTGGATCGACGGCCACCACATGTTGGCGATTGAATTCCAAAATTAGTGAGCCTTTACGCATGGAAACAAAGTCTTGACAACACCAACGGACTTCTGGCTCCTATTTGTATGAATCGATGGAATGCTACCCCCGGATTCACGGTTACATCCAGAAGTGCGTTGCGGAGCCGCCATTTCCTTTTCCCCGGACTTTTCCACCAATTAATAATGTCCAAGCGGCTTGAAGCCGGCTCGTCAACTAGTTTCGCGGAACATGATGGCCCGCGATCTGGGGGACTTCTCGTGGCCTGAACCCCTGATCGCAATCCCGACTACTCGGGTCCGGAACATACGGAGCCGAAAGAAATAGTTTAGATCTCTATTCAACACGCAAGAAACATTTGTTGTAGGCCCTGCGCAACCTCGAAGACAGACCATTGACATGTTTGTTGGAAGCAGTACCGTGACTTAGTGATCTCTGTTTGAAGTATTATTATTATTGGGGGTGGGGGGTTTGTTTTGCTGTCCAAATTCTTGACACACTGAAAATGATGCACCATACAACTGAGATAAACGATTATGGCTGGGACACCCCAAGTTCCCGCAAATCTAGCGTGGCTTACGCTAACTTTACTGCAGGAGACAGATGCCTTCAGTGAATGGTTAGACTTCTCAGTGACACAGTTCTCTATCTAGACTTTGCAAGGCCCAGTGAAACAGACGCCATCAGCGCCTTGTCTTAGGTGCACGCCTCACCTAATCTGAGGGAACTTGGACGACCTAGCACAGACAACCACAATATCGAGGGCTATTTTGTCTCTAAAGAGGAAGAGAATCCAGACAGAAAGGCCTGATGACGTGAAATACGAGCCACTCACAATAACGACGCAATTAAACTAAGAGTCCATTCATTCGACTTGATTCGATTGCCAGTGTGAATCTAGCAACAAAACACCAGAAGACTGGGCGTGTGACAAAAATGTCAGAACTTAAACACTTTTGTCCCATGGAAGATGGAAGGTCAGGCACATGAATTTTGTTGATTGCAGCAAGGTCCACATACATATGGTTGAAGCCGGTCGGAGATACCTTGTATTCCTCAGGCTTCCACAAACCTTGATTCATTTCGTCCACAAAATCCCTACGACCCTTCCTACTTTTTCAAATATACTTTCTTCTATTCTTCATCGTCCACCAACCGTTCGACACACGTCCGTGCGTAAGCTCCGGTCCCCAAGCCCACAGTCAAAAGGACACACCAAGATTCATCGAACCCACCCTCGAGTCCCTCTGTCAGCTGATTCTGAATCTGTGTCAATTGCTAACGAGTAGGTGCACTACAGCACCAACACCACCGCCCTCGCCATCACCAGCAACAGCAGCAGTAAGATGGCAGGTCGCCGCGTGCCATTCTCAGGCACCGTCCGTTCCGAGGACTAGTGGGCTGCAATGGCCGCCGGCCCGGGCACGACTCCCGCTCCCACCGGGGTCCACAGAACCCCCCTCGCCCTCGCGTGGGAAGTGGCCCGCAACGATACTGCGGCCGTCGCCTTGTCACCCCTCCACCGCCTCAACCAGCGCGTCCTTTCCTGGTTGGCAGGAATCGACGAGACCGTCCGCCCGGCGGAGGACAACATCCGTGGCGTCTCTGACAGGGGACGAATTTGCTTGTTGGAGGTGGAGGGGGTTGAGGGCGAGGATTCGGGGTACGACGCGAACGACGAAGATGACGACGACGAAGGGGATGATAGGGTCGATGAGAGCGACGGTGTTGACGAGGAGAACGAAGATGAGCGTCCTACCCCGTCTGAACTCCCCGAGAAAGAGTTTTGGAAGGAAAGCACCCGCCGACTGCGAGCACTCCTTGCCAGATGGAATCGGGTATGCGACAGGATCGTGGCCAGACAAGACCAAGGGGACGCGGAAGTCTTGGTGTCTCGTGACGCTACTACGGAGGATCCCCGAGATGCCATCGTCGAGCCCGTGGACAGAGTGTTTGACGAGTCCGAGTGGCCATACACGCCTCTCCCAGATCAGGAACCACCTGTGCCGAAGCGCGTGCCCTGGGTTGAGCAGATGTGTGCACTCATTCAACGCCCAGTGGCCCAGACCGATGATGATCACCCTCAATGATCTTTCACAGTCAAGCAGAAGGACAACTTTGGCCATGCCGTTACCTATTCGCTGTTTCTTCAACTCACAAATACACGCATGTCCTCGACGTCACACAGTTTGTTTACTTTGGATTCAGGGGCAGGCGCTCCCTGCTGCTTTCTCTCGGCATGCATCACCCCTGCAGGGGGCAACCACTGCCAACTGCCTGACAGCTGCACACACCCCTTCCTTGGGCTCCGATGCGCCTTCCGCAACCTGCAGGATCAGGATCGTGCATTCACTGTTCATCATCCATAATCACCACTCGAGAATTTTTTTATTTTTTTTTCGTCTTTTGAAATTTTGCTCCTTCAACATCAACAACCTAGAAAACAGCAACTATGACAGAACTCGATCTCCTCATCCTCGGCGCAGGCTGGACAAGCACATTCCTCATACCCCTCGCCCAATCGCACGGCATCTACTTCGCAGCAACAACCACCACCGGCCGTCCCATCCCTGGCAAGGATGGTGACGTCCCCACAATCCCCTTCAAATTCGACCCCTCTGCGCCAGAGGAAGAAACCCGCACAGCAATTGCCTCCCTCCCGCGCGCCAAGACGGTGCTCGTCACTTTTCCCTTGACTGGCAACGGGCCCAACAAACTGCTCATCGAAGCCTACACATGCACACATCAAACTTCTGCAGCCACAACCGCCACCGAATTCCGTTTCGTCCAGCTTGGTTCGACAGGCATCTGGCAAAACAATGGCCAGACGTTCACTTCCGACTCTTCACCATGGGTTGATCGCCATTCGCCTTATAATACAGCCAACCCGCGTGCAATCGCCGAGGAGGAGCTTTTGTCACTTGGCGGGTGCGTGCTCAATCTCTCTGGCTTGTGGGGCGGGCAACGCGACCCTAAGAGCTGGATCCCGAGGGTGGCGGCCACGAAGGAGCAAGTGAAGGGTAAGAAGAGCTTGCACTTGATTCACGGCGAAGACGTCGCTCGCGCGATACTGGCTGTTACCTCGGCATCCAATGAGAAGTGGGATGAAGCGGGCAAAGGGCAGAGATGGATGCTTACTGACGGGTTTGTCTATGATTGGTGGGCTCTGCTGGCTGGCTGGGCAAAAGAGGCGAGTCTGCAGGTGAGATGGGTTTGGGAGTTGATGGAAGAGGAAGGAGTGAGGGCTCTGCCGAGGTCGATGGAGACCTTGGGGAGGGCGTATGATGCTAGGGAGTTTTGGAGGAAGTGGGGCGTGGAACCTCTCAAGGGAGGAGCTTGGTGATGGATTGCCTCTTGAAGGAATTGAAATGGAAAGAGGCATGGGCATTGCAATACGAAGATTTGTCATGGTCGGGGCGGGGTGCCTATTCTTCTGGTCTTCAGGTCATGGACGATACTTTTTTGGGCGGAATCCTACCCTATCGGCAGTATCAATGAAGCAGCTCCTATTATTGTCAAAACAGCTTATTCAGATTTGCAACCGCCACTCACTTCTTGCCATCAAGGCTTCTTTTTTATGATGAATCTGCTCCGTATTGGCCATTGAGTAATCGTGTGAGAGAAACCCCGGAGATACCTGGGGGAACAGAGAAGAGTGCAGACAAAACTAACTTGGTATTCATACTAAAATTGCTCGGTCGCCACTCTGAGCAATACATATTTACTGAGTATGCCAGATGTAAGTATATGCACACACATCTTTGGTGGCCCATTTCGGTCTGTATGTATGCTTCTATCTTCCACGGCCATGAAATGTTTGATCGTTTTCGTGACAAAAGAAATAAGAAAGTTGTGGGAGGAAAGAAAGAAAAAAGGCGATATAATTACCCATCATAATGTGACGGATGGATGATGTTAACTTGATGATGGTGAGGTGTGGATATATCTGCAAAAGAAAAGGAAAATATGAATTGCGTCAGCCGCGAATCGAACGCGGGGCCCATCGATGGCAGCGATGGATGGATTTTGCCACTAATACCACTGGCGCTACAAGTGAGGAACAGTTGAAAAATTGGAAATGGGATCTGCAGAATGGACGCGAAGGACTCTTTGGTATTGATGGTATGACAACCCATCCAGATTTGACCAGGTTTGCATTAAAGAGTTCTATCGCCTTCCCCTTCAGGAAGAACCAAGGTTTTGATGCCAGAGCCAACAGTGGGGCTTTTCAGTTCCGAAACGGGTGCATTCTTCGACAAGTTTACGCGTCATTGCATGTTACCTGGCCCAACCGCTCCAACGGGTTGAAGGATCAAAAGACTGGCCCAACGGTCTTGCATATCATGCAGTGCGGAGTCAAAGACATGTACGGTACTCGAGTCTAGGCACGGAATCAGGATGGGTATAAAATTCGTAGCAGGATCCAAAAACTGGGGTCAGAATTCTGTTCAAGCTCTTTCCTGGCTTTGTTCCGTCAAAGATATCTTCACTGCACTCATCATGTCCGCTCAACCCACCACCCCCCACCTCGTCAAGCTCGACGTCTGCCTCTACAAAAAGGATGACATCTCCCACGATGACTTTATCAAGTGGCTCAGGGAGGATTATAATGCCAAAGCGCTGCCAATCCTTCAAGAACACGGCGTGGTCAAGTGGGCTCAGGTTTGTGACAACAACATCAATCAAGCTCACCATTTCTTACCTTGCAAGATTCCCTGCTGACAATGAGGAACACCAAACAGACCGCAACCCCTCCGTGCTTCCGTGAGCCATTCCGCCAAGCTCTCGTGAACCAGATGGAAAGACCTCTGTGGACCGTTCCCGACTACGACATTGTGATCTCTTACTGGCTCAACAATCTGGAGGATATGCAAGGGGTGACGCAAGATCCGAGGTGGATTGAGTTGGAGAAGGAGGCGTCTGAAAGAGCCAATCTGACGTTGGGACATTTTGTTATTGGGCACCAGACTGTCCTGTTTGGCGAATAGTGATAAGGGGGAAGGAAGGAAGGAACGGAGGGGATTGCCACCGCGGTTTGTGGTTCCCTCCGAGTCCCGTTCGATGGGTAGAAACTGCTATATCCACTCCGTGCCTGCTTCTACGTCTTGCATCCAAGGACGCAACACCCACCAGCATCACTGCACCCCACCAAAGAGGCGGCTGTTGCAACTCCAACCGACGGTTCTCAGAACTTGGACCCGGTTGTTGGTCTACAGCTACACGATGCTGCTCAAACATGGTGTTGATAGCGGAGGTTTCCAAGAGAATATTTTGAGGGCAACGTCTCGCTTCGTGATATTCGTAATTATGACAAACCAACAGTTTAAATCAGACGGCCGGTGTGTTTTGCTTGGGAGGGACTCACTGCAGGCTACATGAAAGCCAAACGGTGGAATAAACACCATAGCGAGTTTGTTCACCACCTTGTACTTCCCAGCGTTGAATACATCTCCAACCCGGACGGGGTGGTGGCCTCCCTTGCAGTATCGCCCAATGTTCTCCTCAGAGATGGCGCGCGCACGGGTTGGAGTTGTTTGAAAGAGCGGGCGAGTACAGATTCCAGGCGATTTTCACCAAGAAACATCTTCGCTTCGAGAGTTTCGGGCGACCCAGGTTGAGCGAGGATTGTGCGTGTGAAAGATGAACGACTGCGCCGCTTCCCGGCTTTGGGGAAGACTACGAGCCACGGGCCAGTGTTGGTTCATGGGGGCGGTTGACAAAACCCAGCAAATCTCTGTGGGCGCTTAACCAGTGATAGACAGGGACATTTGGTCTTGTTGGTAACAACCCTCATTGGCTGAGCCAGTGTGAACCAAGAGAAAACAAAACATGTCTTTGAGGACGCCTGGCCTACGGCAGGGAGGGTTAATTGATCTTTGCAGATTCTCCATTTTCCTTTTATGATGCCAACAAGGACACCTTCGTTTCTCTTCACTCGTACACTACTTTTACATCCCCGTTTCACTTTCTTTCCTGCACCTTAGCTATCTTCCCTTGTTTGCTTGAAGCTAGCCTTTTGGCATTTTGACTTTCTTCGAATTATTTGTTCACTGGTTGAACCTTTACAGCTTCCTTCCCTGATCTTAGAATTTTGCTTTGCATCCTCTTATTCGAGTCGCCTATTCTACGCCCAGAATCATGATTTCCCGCCAAATCGCCCTCCTCCTCTCGGCTGTGCTGGCCACAACACCTCAATACACAGCCGCTCAGATCCTGAGCTGTGCTGATTTAGAATGTCCAGTCGAGCCAGGAACGACTAATGCTGACTGCGTCGTTGCCGGTGAGGACCTAGGCGCCATAGGCGTCGCAGATGTTCCGACAAATATCAGCAGTCTCACCGGCCTCTCCTGGACGAAAGACACCCAGTCCAGCCCGCTCGGCGCATCAAGCACACGCACCTTCACGCAACTCCTCTACTTCGCTGCCGGCTTCAACCCCGACAACACCGGAATTTGTGCCCTCTTCTTCAACAGCGTCAGCGAAAATGTGCGCTTCAACGAGGCACTCGGAGATCGTACTGCTTCCGAGGGAACTTGCCAGCAGGCTCTGACCGATACGTGCGTCAACGCCCTGATCAGACGCGCCAATTCGGTCAACCTGCAAGGTGTAGTCAGCACCGAAGCTGCTTGCCAGAGCCTGCAGAGCGAATTTGAAAATAATCTGGATCCCGAGTGCGCCGGTGCCGCGACTGGGAGTCAGTGGGCCGGCATTACGGTTCAGGCTCTGACTGGCGCTACTGCTCCGGAGCCTATTTCCAGCTCGCAGAATTCTAGTTCGAACTGTTGGCCGACGCTGCCCAAGAGTAATGATTTGACGTTGGTGGAGACGGTCAATACGACGGTGAGTTGCAGATTGCCCACTGTTTTGAATGGCTTTCGGTAGTAGTACTGACATGCTTTTCTTGTTTTGTTCTTTAGGGTGACTTCACAATAGAAACTAGTCTTAGGGAGCTGTTTGACATCACCCCTATTCTCACCGTCTTCTTCCCCAATAATAGAAACGCGACTGTCGTGAGGCAGACTCAGGCTCAGTTGACCTGCGTCAAAGTCGTTGACTCGACGACGGCATCGAATGCTACACTGAATCCTGGAAATGGACCGGACAGCGAAGGAGGGTTCCGTCTTGCTGGAAGCGGGGCTCTTGCCGTGTGGGCTGGTACCACGTCGGTCCTGATTTCTGCACTTCTTTGATGATTTAGGTCCATGTAGTTGATCAATCTATGGTACTCTTTTTTTTTTTTTTTTTTTTTTTTTGCGGTACCGTGTAGGCCTGGTTACCTGTTAATATTTCCGAGTTAAAGACGCTGTGCATCTTTTCACAGCTCGTTCACGGTTTTTATTCCCTTTCTCAAACCTGAAACTGAAAGAATGCGCCCTCTATTTTGACACCGGCTGAGCTCTGGGTGAGAAGTTCACCCCGCTGAACCCCTGAGTAGCAATATACCTTGCCGATTGTTTTATCCTTCGGGTCCAGTAAAGCCGCTTTGTGAATCTGAGACCTAGTTTCTCGTGGACTTTATCATCTCGAAATTGGAGTTCAAACTTGAACGAAGCGACGCCTTCATAAAGCTTGGGAATCCCGTCTCGTCAGGGGGGTCACGCTCAGCAACATCTACGAACGTCACGCAGTCGACCCCCTCAAAACCCAGTCCCAATTGCCACGTCTTGAAGCAGTCAGCAAACAAAATCCAACAGAACCAAAACCGTAAAGGCGGAAATAGTCCTAATCCCAAGCAAGACAATCATAACCAGTTGCATAGAACAGAGTCCGAGGTATGTAAGCAAAGCGGAGCGTTGTCATGGTAGGCTATCAAGCCAAATCCTAAGGACACCAGATGGGCTCCAAGAAGAGCTGGCTTCTTCAAGCTGGCGTGACAAGATGTCGGTTTAATACCGAGGTACTAATACTTAGTTACAGGATATGCGCAAGGATTATAGGGATGGCAATGGCTGTATTGCTTCTGCTCCTAGATACAAATGGCTGAATTTGAAAACATTTATACACTGTCATATACTCCACCCCCAACCCCTAGGACCCCAAATCACTCCTCCATCCTTCTCCTCATCACCCTCTCCAGCTCCCCCCATCCGCCCAAAACACAAAAGGCGTCCCACCCCATTTTCCTCAACAGCGCAGTACTCATGCACCCACTATCGCCATCCCCGCAAACAACCAAGACCTTTCCTTTATTTCCCTCCTCTTCCAACATTCCCTCCCTGTCAAACGCGTCCCTCAACTGCGTCCACCGTTCCCTCACTGCCTCGGCGTCTTCATAGAAATCAGGCTTCGTCAGCGGTAAATCCAGATTCTGCGCGCCATCCAAGTGACCCTGCTCGTACAGATCCCTCGGGCGGAGGTCGATAATCTTTAGCGTTGTTGACTCTAGACCAAGTCCAGGGGTGGTGGCAGCGCTGTAAGATGACGACTCCGACGGTGTGGGAGAGAAGAGGATAGATTCGCACGAAGTCGACGGTGAGGAAGTTGCGGAGAGGCAGAGGTCGTCTGGGTCTGTTGAAGGGGACGCCGAAAAGGAAAGCGGCGATGAATCTGAGTCTGGTGAAGCGCACGCACACGAGGAAGGAACAACACAAACTGGGTTCGTGTGGTTGGGTTGAGAGGAGGAAATGAGGCCTAGTGCCTGAGAGGGCTCAAGGAACCAGCGCTCCTCGTAGGGGTCTTGATCTACCGACAGGAGACACTTGAAGTTGTTAGTAGCTGGAGGAAAGAGAAGCAAAAGGGGCAACAACTTACGTCGTTGTAAATAGGAGGAAACTCTTCCTCCCCGAGTTTCTTGTAGTACATGTCCATGTACTGGTACGGGAGGTCAGCGCAGAGGAAGACGCAGCTGATCTCGCCCGTTACTGGATCAGCCAGCTCTGATAGACGGCCTTCGGCTTTCAAGGAACCAAGGTGAGTGAGTAAGCCGTGGAGTGCCTCTCCGGATGATGGACCCGCGATGATGCCGTGCCGTGAGAGTTTCATGGACATGCGGAATGAGTCGACGGACTGGACTGTCTCGAAGGCGTCGATTACTTGGCGCCAGGGGAA